GGAGACGTTGTTGAGATTTTCCAACGGAGAGAAACAGATACAGAGCCTTCTAAACAGGTCTAGGGCCTGGCTGCTCCAGTCTCTAACAGAAACTTTCACCTGGGATTTCGCCTACGCTTTTTAAAAGGGCGTCTCATTTTGCATGTAATGAAATGGAACCTTATATTTGCCTGATATGGCCGCGGTCCTCCTTATCGGGGTCTCCCTTCGGGCTGACGGACTTCTTTCAGTGTTGGCCATCAGGAGGCTCCTGTCGGCGTGGCAGGGCCTCCTGAAATTTCAGCAAGGAGGCACCACCCGCGACAAATGACCAGGCGGCTGCCATCGTTCCAGCTTGATGGCGCTAGCACCGACGTTCCTCATTGTTCTCGGTTTCTCTAGTCCTCACACTCGCACCGTGACACTTCCACGGTCATGCAGGCTTTCGCACCACGTAGAATCCTCGCTTATGTCGCACCACGTAGGCTCACCGGTTTTCGCAAGTACAGAGCCTCGACGCCAAGTGGTCAGATATATTATTTTACCGCCGTGAAAAAATGACCGCCATCACCTGCGATTGTGTACTCCTTATTTGCGTGCACGATCAGTTACAAGAGTCGAGAAACTTGCGAACAGAAATAACGTCCATTTCTCTCTTCAACTTGGCCTCGCACTCATCTGACCCTCACCTCCTCTCCCACCCTTCTCTTCTGAGCGTCACACTGCCATGTCAAGTCCGACGCGGCAGCCCCCATCAGCCCGCCCGCTGGTTATCTCGGCGACGGCCGGCACGCGCTCTCTCCGCCCATCCGGCCGTGCTGCTCTCGGAAATGCCCGAATTCGGGTCAGCCGGACCGACGCCGGGCCCGGCGGCCGCGGTGGGGCCGTCACCTTGCACGGCGCAGCAGCGTCCCGCGGGCGGGCGTCGGCCGCCGGCGTTTGGCCGCAATCTTCTCTCGTCCTGTTCGAGGCAACCAAAGGTCCGACGCCTGTCCTGGCGAGCTTTTTCAGGAAGTAGCTTCTGAGTGTTGCATCTCGCTCGGTACGCAGTTGGTCCAACGAATTTTACGTGTCAAGGATAGCGTTTCACTTCCCGGATCTCACAAGCCTTAATTACAATTAACAAGCTTGAATTCCAGTTCCATTTTAGCACCCTCGGAGGTCATACAGTCTCATCTCCTTACATGAAGGTCACGCCAGCATCAGCCCAGCGAAAATTGGGGCGATGCTAAGGGGAAGTGATCTGACGTTGCCTTCGTGCAAATGGACGGCTACTCCAGCTTCAGGAAGCCAAAACGATGTATCCCAATCTTCAGCGCTTTGAGTCATCGGCTCGAGTGAATGCGCCAATACCAGACCAGCTTCGCGCGCCAGTGTGCTCGAAACGTCACATTAGTCTGACATCCCGTTGAGTGTCTTCTCCGACTTTCTCACCTTGGCTGCTTTAAATTCCGCCCGTGGAATTGAACCGTAAATTTCGCCTCCTCCGCCCAAAGACGGGCGACATAAAACCTGTCCGAGCTTCGAAACGCCCGTCAGTGTGGTCTGCATTTAGACATTTGATTTAGCATGCCGACTGGAACCGTCCGATTCCGCCTAAAACTATTGCTGGATATGCCTCTCAACGTTCCTCATCAGTGCCAAAGGTTGCGGCTGTGTAGTGTGAATCAGGAGTCATAAAACAGCAGTGTATTTTTTGCTTCTCTAAACCACGGTCACCGAGATAAAACTGGACGGTATTTTCGTAAGGTTAATGCCGCAATTAACGCCGCATGCTTATGTTTGGCGGTCCGCAGCTTGCGGCCAAATGTTCCGACTCCAAAACTTGCATAAGCGTGAGCTAGCCATGATGCAAAAAACTTTTCAGTCCCGCAGTCCCGCATTTTTTACATTTTGAATGATGTTCTCGGAATCTTGATAACGCGTTCGTAGTTTTGCTGTTTTTATGATGTGTCACAGACCCGTCCGGCAGATAATGTATTATGTAGGGCGGGCGTTTCCTCAAGCCCAGGTGTTCTTCAGACCGGATCAGCGGCTTCGGTTGCCATAGGAAGACGTGCATCATAGCATTGTTGTAATCCTTGTCATCAAAGATATAGCGGTAGCTCCAACGACACAGCACGCGCTCTTCCCCTCCCCCTCCCACCAGTGCACAACACAAGGGATACGGTACACTGCGACGCACCCCAAAAATCCTTATCGCGGCATGCTGGGCCACAAATGGATGGTTGCCTGTGAATTCAATGGGCGTTACCGCCTATCAAACCGCCGAAGGCTCTTCAGCCGCGCGTAATGCGGGGACGGCACGCGGACACGATAGTGATCCTTGCTCAGCTCCGTTATTTTCCAGCCTGATGACATCAGGGAGTCTCAGATCTCTGCGGTGTTGTCCAGTGAGGAATCCACCATTCCTGACCAAATGCCTGTATCAAATCGCGCCGTTTGCCGTTGATACGATGAATACGGGGATGCAGTGGAGCTGGCAGAATTTGCGACGGTGGTCTAGCATGATTTACAACGAGGGGGCTAATTTTTGCGGATTACGCTAAAAGGCACAACACTTCGCGCATCAAAGAGCTGTAGACATTAGTTTGCCTTTGCGTACACGTACACATTCACTCTGCTAATCCGGTTGTCTTGTTATTGAGCTACCGCTGCTGGACACTACGCGTCGGTGCCTATGGAGGTGTCTGTTAGATTTAAGACCAAAATAGTTCCTCTGATCACCAGGTGCCAGAACTACAATCGGAAGAGTCGCGGCGAAAAGCTGCGCTCAAACCAGAGCCTTTGGCTGCGCCAATGCAAGGAAGATGGCGGCGATATCTAGATTTGCTACAAAACATAGGGTAGCACTGCTTATAGCACTGATTCAGCACTGATTGGCCAATAACTGATTGTTCGCAAGCAGCGGACTTCTTAGCTAAATATTTCAGAATTCAGAATTTTGTTCAAGAATTTTCAAGCTCAGATTTCTCAAGCTCAGAATTACCCATTCACCTTAAATAATGTTTACCTTTTAGAGTTACACTATAGCTCCTTGTTATATTTTCCTATGCGCATGTAATGCACAGAGCTTAACTGGGCTTGAGTAACAAAGCCTTTTGATACGCCAGATGGTAAGGTATATCGTGGAAAAAAGGAGACGATGCTACGAGGCGAAAATGTAAAAAATGGAAAGCCTTTAAATGAGTGCGCCATGGTGAGTTCAAAATCACGAAAGTTACATCAACTCTCGATTATCTGATTTCATATTATGTACCATTAAACAGGGCCTGCGGCATGACCTCGAAAACGCCGAAGGCAATGCATCCAACCCGGTGGCCGTTGCCGGGACTGGTCTGGGAATGACACGAATTTCAACAGCCCGATTTTACCTTGGAACTCCATTCTGAGATTATTCCACATTACGAGGGTGTGCTGCGCTCGTCGGTCTGTGGTGGAATGCCCTGTCTGGTCACGGTCTCCGCTTGGGTGTCCGGATGTTACATGATTCAAATTGTATGGGAACAAAGCGTTGTCTGTCTGTTTGTCTGCATCCGACTTTGTCAGCGCCAAAGTCGGATGCCGTGATTTAGCTATACACAAATATTGTTCCAAACAGCAAGGAAATAGAAAAGCTCCTAGTCCAAGGGGGGGGGGGGGCTGTAGCGGGTGCATCCAATCACTGGAATATATCGCCACACAGATGTGACGTTGGCGCGTCGGCTGGTGTCACCATAGCGCTGCAGTATATACCCCTCATCAGATACTGCATTTTCAGAGTGCTGTTCTGGTCATGGGTGGAGAGCACGGTATGCAGGTATGGGTGCGGCCATCTATAGCCTGACCTCAACGTCGTGCCATTCAAGACGCTCGTTTCTGCAGGTTCGTCACTCGAACTTATCGGAACACTTTCCGGCCCTGATTCTGATATGTCCATCGCTACACGGAAAACGAGCTAAAACTGTCTATATTCGCGGTGTTCTGCGGCATAATCTGAGGGCTCCGCATTGCACTGCACTGCTTATTCAAACCTCATAAGTTTTTGATACCCCTGCAGTGGTTGGAAGATGGCGAGATCCCCGACTGAACGTAAAATGTTAAAAGCAGGTTGGTATGCTATGGCGAATGCATATGGATTTATCTGGCTAGTTTGTCATCGACAGTGTACATAGTATGCATATCGAAATTCCCCGCCAGGTGGCGGGTAAACGGTTGAGTGTCATGCAGCTGTAATGCAGGCTGTATAGGTACTTCTGGGGACCGGTCCGCAACATGTGTAGTCTCACTTAAACCCATGTTTCGCCTCTAGCATCAAAACGGTAGTGCCGCACTTGTTACAACTGGTCTGTATTTACACTCACAAGGACCACGGCATAGCCAGATCACTCCACAGTTCGCTCCTGATGTCATGCGCCTGCCTTAGCCAACACTTGACCTTCCCACACAGCCTGGACATGCCAACTGGACACTAACAACACCCACTTAAAACTTAGCTTATCATCATCTTAGTCCTTCGCACAAACTTCCCGTAAAACACCCACGTAACCCTGCCACTTTACCCCCCCCCCCCCCTGCGACTCTTTCTTTCTTTTAACCTCTTAGATGTTTCAGTCTCTTGACCCCAAAGCCAGATTTTTCCGTTCTCGTGAGCAATTAAAGTAGCGTGCGTCAAACTTAAAAGGCGCCAACGGCGCGCCAGGAGCCCTCCCAAGCTTTCGCCACCCGCTGGGCGCGCATCACGCACGGCGCCCAGCACACGATGAGCAACCGCCGCCGTGGTCCCCGGCTCACCGTCTCACACAAACGGGGCCGGCCAATGCCATGAAAATAACGCCGAGGAGCTGGTTCTGGCAGGACAAGTTCACTATTGACACGTCCTATTCAACACCGAGTCATCGCTGTGCACAACGCTGAATTCGCACGATGATAGTGATCAGGGGCCAACGGAAGCCATCGCCGCGAGAGATCCTCCGCATCACCGCGCGTACACAGCACATCGCGAGTTCGCAACACTTTAAGTGCTGTCAAAGCAAAGGAAATGACACATAGGGGACAAGTTTATTAACTGTATTATTCACGTATTTATAACAAAATAAAAATACAGCAGTTAGGCCTTCAGCGCAGCAAGACGTCGCAGCGGTCTTCCAGGCACTTATCTCACGCCGCGCCACTACGCGAAGCAATCATGGAGGCGGGAAATGCGCGGTCGGAATCACCGAGCGCCTCCCATCTTCTGTATCAGCTCGTCACATATGGCCGTCACCTCTTGGTTCTCGCGCTCGAGCTTGGTGTTGCGGTTCTCCAGGAGCTGGAGCTTGGTGGTCAGACGCAGCAGCTCCGTCTCGTGACTCTTCTCCGCCAGCTCCATGTCCTCGCGCAACCTGCGACCACGGGCGCGGACCCTGTCAGTCTCCCGGACACGCACCGCCCCCCCCCCCCCTCACACACACACACGCTCACCACCGGACCAACCGCAGCGGGAGGTCCGGCAGCCGAGCAGGCCAGCCGCCAGGCGCCGCCACTGTGCGGGCGGCGCGCCGGGCCCCTCAATGGTAGGCAGCGCTGCGGCGGTGGCGCGCAACGAGCCCAAGGCCCACCCATTACCACGGGCCGCGCGTGCCAACTCATTGATGTCACTGCAGGGACCAACGGCTCCAGCGCGCACCATGCCTGGCGGGGGGCGTGCCACACACGCCACGCCAGCGTGAAGCTTTCCCACCCGAGACAAATACCGGTGCGGTAAATCAAGTCGACGAGCGAAGAAAAACACGAATGGTGAGGCAAAAATCCTCCGTTGGTGGTGCACCAGCGAGCAGAGACAGAACAATGAACATACACATCGAGAATCGACCGGGCGGGGAGGGCGCAGGCAGAGTGGCCGGGCGGCGGGGAGGCGCGGAGCAGCTGGCGATGGAGAGGAGGGCAGGGCGACCAGGCGGCGAGGAGGCATGGAGCGGCTGGGGGGCACGCGGGCTCACCTCTGCAGCGTGTCCTCGGCGTACTTCTGCAGCATGTCGTGGCGCTGCCTCTCTCGCGACACCTCGTCCAGCGCCGACTGCCACGACTTCGAGATGGTCTCGCTCCGCTGCCTGTTCTCCTGCATCAGACTCTTGCTCTTCTCGTACTTGCTGCGGACGGCGAGGGGAACGAGGTCACACGGTGCCCCCGTGCAGGCGGTGGACGGAACGCTGTATCGCCCGGACGGCGGTGGCCGGCGCCACAGCGTTCCGTGACGCCAGACCACGCGGGCCTCGTCTGCTCATCGCGTGTACAATGGTGAGAAACGGAATCACAACCCTAAACAGCATCTGCTTCTTAAATCAGCGGGAAGCCGCCGTGGAACACTCCGCGAGGAAGGCCCATGTTTCCAAGCATGGCATGTGTGAGAAGCCCCATAGCGGCTCCCGGCGATATGAACTAAATGGCTGACAACACGCGACAATCCGGCCAGCAGCAGCGGTAGCATTGAGCAGAGAGCAGAGGCCGCCAGCGAGCCGGGCGGCGAGGTCTGCCGGCCGGCCACCCACCGGTGCAAGTCGGCGAACATTGACTCGACGTTGGCCACCTCCTGACGGGCCTCGTCACGCTCGGCGCTGACGGCGCGCACGGCCGCGTCCGTCTGCTCCTTCTCGATCGCCAGCCGTGCCAGCGCCTTGGTGTGCAGCTCCACCACCTGGCGGCCACGCGAGGAACTGTAGCATACTGGCGGCCGCCGCGTTCCCGTCATGCCGTCCGGCGGCCCAACACGGCGGCGCGTACAACAGGGTACTACAGGGTACACGGTGCTTACAACGGGGTACCGGTGATCGGGCACAGCCAGCGCAGGATTGGTGTTTGGTAACGCACGCAACACTCTACTGGGATGTTTCACCTGGACGGAAAGGAATATGTCTAGGGTACCCTTTGACGTGCGACGAAGTCAGAATGTGCAGTGTTTCTTTTAAGCGCACCGTTCAATCATTTGGGCCAAACACAGCTCAACATTTCTTCCGCTTTACAACCTCAGGCCATCCGTGAATAGCACTGATATGTGAATCAGCAGTTTCCTGCCCACGTGATAAAACGCAATTTGATTAAAAATGGTTAATTTCCAGCTTCCTGTATCAAACTGACTTATGGCAGCATGCGGCCTTCCACCGACTGCCATCTGGCGGCAGCATACACAACTCCAGTGGGCGGAGCCGGATTGTCCGGTGTTTACAGTTCCATCCACACCTTACCTTCTCGGGAGGAGCACACAATTCTCGAGGACACGGTTGTCAGCCAGAGACATACGTGACCGACTAATGGGATAGCACACGCGCCAGGAGACGCCGGCGAAGGTCACAATCACGCCAGCCGACCCAGAAAGCCTGCCGCACAATCGCAGCCCAACGACAAAGAAGCGTGCCGACTGATTACGCGGCTAACAGCGTGAACGGTCCGCCGTCGGATGAGCCAGTTCTTGCACGGCCTCAGCCTCCCCTCACAACTGCCGCGGCAAAACCAGCGACACTCAGCCAGCCGACAAAAACGGGCCCGCCAGCGCCCATCGTGAGCGCAGAGGCAGTGCCAGGTAAAGCACGACTTCACGCGTCACGCTACGGCACACGGACCGTCACGGCTGTGGCGGCGGACGAACCGGCACCAGGCCGAGGTACACTGACACCGTCTGACGGACCGTCACCAGTCGAGGTACACTGACACCGTCTGACGGACCGGCACCAGGCGAGGTACACTGACACCATCTGACGGATCGGCACCAGTCGAGGTACGCTGACACTGTCTGACGGACCGGCACCAGGCCGAGGTACACTGACACCGTCTGACGGACCGGCACCAGTCGAGGTACGCTGACACCGTCTGACGGACCGGCACCAGTCGAGGTACGCTGACACCGTCTGACGGACCGACACCATGCCAAGACACGGTGATGCGTCTGACGGACCGTCACGGCTGTGGCGGCGGACGGACCGGCACCAGGCCGAGGCACAGTGACGCCGTCTGACGGACCGGCACCTGCCGAGGTACACTGACACCGTCTGACGGACCGACACCAGTCAAGGCACAATGACACTACCTGACGGACCGACACCAGTCAAGGCACAATGACACTATCTGACGGACCGGCACCAGCTGAGGTACAATGACACCGTCTGACGGACCGGCACCAGCCGAGGTACACTGACACCGTCTGACGGACCGGCACCAGCCGAGGTACACCGAGACCGGCGGCGATGGCGCCAAGCCGTCGCCACCCGATACACGGCAGCACTTGACCGGGTGGGATGAGGGGTCGGGGCTGGGGAGCGAGAGAGGATAGACCTGTGACGTCCGGCGCCTGCTTGGCTATGGGACGGGCGCCGCCGCCGCCACCACCGGCGGAACTGAACGACACTACCCGGCGACGGAGCAGCGGTCGGAGAAAGCACACGGGAGAACCGGCACACGTGGATCTGTTTCAGGGAGTACCACAAAATGGGAGAATTATTGGGCAAGAAACGGTCGAAAACGTGATTTCCACAGCGACGCATATTGGCACGTTCTTCCCATGTCGGGATCGATCTTGTTGTTGATTGGAGTTTTAGGGCGCGCCGACTACTGTGGTCATTTTGCGCCCATAACAGCCGGGATCGATCTTGACATTTCATATCGCGAAACCCATCACTGTCATCGTTTGCCCCCCCCCCCCCCCCCCCCCCGAACAAACTCGGAACGTCCGCCAAACTCGACCGATGCCCAATAAGTCAGGTGATGCGATCCCCATACTGGCCAGCCTTCATCAGCCTTCGCCGCTGGCACATACCCTGGAGAGTTTCAACTGCTGCTGCTTGTGTTCCGCATCCCGCTGCTTCGGCTTCGCCAACGCCTCCCGCATTGTCGCCAGCTCTTTCTCGCGCTTGAGAAGCTGGAAGATAGCGAGCGGTCAGCGTCAGCGGCTAGCAGGGTGACGAGGCCACAGCGAGGGTGGGATGTTCCACGGCGGAACGGGGACCATCGGCACCTCAACGATCGAAAAGCCACGCAAGCCGTTCGTGTCATGTGTGAGGAACACAGCCGGGTAAAGTTTAACTATCGGCCCAGTTACTGGCTAACTGCAATTTCGCGAGGCAGACCGTTAGACACATAGAACGGTGGAGATGTCGCCAGCCGTGAGACTTTCCCTCTTCAACTGGCTGACATTTCGGTCAGCCATGCAGGTCCTAAGACTTTTCATTAGCATAACCGCGTGACGTTAATACTCCCGGATCAGTGAATGAAATGACGTGGACCTACGCGTCCACAGGTAGGGTTTTGACGTCCGTCCCAACCGAAAGGAATGCCTTGGCGTCAGCGCTGTAACTTGACAGTTGACCGTGACCCTGTATGACCCCACCCTCTCCCGACCGCACCTCTGCGCGGTAGTAGAACTCCTGCTTCTTGAGCGCCTGCCCATCGGCCGCTGACACGTGGTTGTTGTCGGCGGCCGTCGTGGCCAGCGCCGTCTCCGGAGCGGGCTCGGGCTCGGGCTCCGCGGGCTGTGCGGCGTCCGGGGTCGGCTCGGCCGCCTCCTTGGCTGGAGAGAAGGCGATCAGGTCGGCCTTGACGGTGGACAGCTGGCGCGGCACCGCCGGCGGCGGCTCCTCCTGCTGGGTGCTGCCGGCGGGAACAGAGTGTCAGGGGAGCCGTGCCGGCCGGTCAGCCAGCTGGTCAGTGTCAGACGACAAGTGGGAGCACGCAGCAGCGGACGACCTCCGCTCTCCTCCCGCCACCAGCGTACGACATTTACTGGATCTAACGCGTGGCGCCTCCTTGACGATCACATGCAACAGGGACGAACGCGTGGGCGCCGCCATCAATTCATACAGACCCCGCCGCCGTCCAGACGGACGACATCTGTGGCATCTGACGCCCACGACAGATCGCGCCGCCCACCACAGATCAGCTACATCGTGACTTGAAAAACAGCACCAAGTCTCCTCTAAACTCCGTGCAGCGCAGCACGCAGGGCTGGTGGACGTTCTCAAAGCCACAGCAAAACGATCGCGGGCGATATCGATGCGCCCGCCTGGCCGGCACGGCAGCACAGCCAGCGCCTTTGTTGGCCAGCGGCCACTGCTATCGATCGGCGGGACGTCCCGCCTCGGCGCCGTCGGACTGCACCAGGGGCAACTCTGACGGCAGCCCAGCACGCCACGGACTGCACCGGGGTCAACTCTGACGGCAGCCCGGCGCGCACGGACTGCACCGGGGTCAACTCTGACGGCAGCCCAGCACGCCACGGACTGCACCAGGGGCAACTCTGACGGCAGCCCAGCACGCCACGGACTGCACCGGGGTCAACTCTGACGGCAGCCCAGCGCGCCACGGACTGCACCAGGGGCAACTCTGACGGCAGCCCAGCGCGCCACGGACTGCACCAGGGGCAACTCTCGACGGCAGCCCAGCGCGCCACGGACTGCACCAGGGTCAACTCTGACGGCAGCCCAGCGCGACGGACTGCACCGGGGCAACTCTGACGGCAGCCCGGCGCGCACGGACTGCACCGGGGCACTCTGACGGCAGCCCAGCGCGCCACGGACTGCACCGGGGTCAACTGACGGCAGCCCAGCGCGCACGGACTGCACCAGGGTCAACTCTGACGGCAGCCCAGCGCCACGGACTGCACCGGGTCAACTCTGACGGCAGCCCAGCGCGCCACGGACTGCACCAGGGCACTCTCGACGGCAGCCCAGCGCGTGACGGACTGCACCAGGGGCAACTCTGACGGCAGCCCAGCACGCCACGGACTGCACCAGGGTCAACTCTGACGGCAGCCCAGCGCCACGGACTGCACCAGGGTCAACTCTGACGGCAGCCCAGCGCGCCACGGACTGCACCAGGGGCAGCTCTCGACGGCAGCCCAGCGCGTGACGGACTGCACCAGGGGCAACTCTGACGGCAGACCAGCGCGCCACGGACTGCACCAGGGTCAACTCTGACGGCAGCCCAGCGCGCCACGGACTGCACCAGGGTCAACTCTGACGGCAGCCCAGCGCCACGGACTGCACCAGGGGCAGCTCTCGACGGCAGCCCAGCGCGTGACGGACTGCACCAGGGGCAACTCTGACAGCAGCCCAGCGCGCCACGGACTGCACCAGGGACAACTCCGTCGGCAGTCCATCGCGCCACGCGCCACCGAGGCCCGGCCTGGCGGGCGCCAGCTCCGATCGAGGCCACCGTCCAGTGTGGGGGTCGCCCTGGCGGCAGCCGGCCGCTGCGCCCTCGTTACAGACCCGTCCGCGTCTCCGCAAGCCGGTGTGCCCCGGCTGTGGACCGCAGCCGGTCCACAGCTGGGCTTCCGTCCGTGGGGAGGGAGCGCCACAGCCACTGGGAAACGGGGTCTCGCCACTCGCTGACGTCACACCGGCGCCCAGCAGACCGGTGACGCGACGGCCTTCTGCAATGTTTTACGTCACGTACTCGGAACGGTGGCACCAGCAGCCGAGGCTGCCGCGGCTGCCGCGGCGGGGACACGCCGGGGACAGTCCCTCCACTGAAGTGCTGGCCGTCCTCAGTGGCTGGCAGCTGGTAGACTCTGACTCCCGGCGCCCGGCGCGCACGCCGCACGGCCTGCACCGTGGCCCGGCCGAAGGCGCGGAAATGGACACGAGCCCTAACGACGCCAGTCACGCAGGCCGGCGGCCATCTCCGACTCTAATCGAACGGACGTGTGGAGGCCGACGCGCTGATTGAGTCTGAACACGAGTGGCACGGCAGACGAGAGCGAGGGCGCGCAGCAACGCGCCGAGGCGGCTGCCAACACATCCGACATGGCACCAACGGGAGCATCAAGTGTGCACCACTGCCGGGATTGTGTGGACCACTACCGGGATTGTACATAACACAGCCGGGATTGTGTGCAATACAGCCGGGATTGCGTGCGCCACTACCGGGATTGTGTGCAACACTGCCAAGATTGTGTGCGTCACAACCGGGATTGTGTGTTCCACTATCGGGATTCAGTGTCGCCGCGGGGACGACACCGACAACCATGATGGGGGGGGGGGGGGGGCAGGGGGAGAAAAGGCAGACAGATGAGATCTTTTGAGCCAACGACAAAGCACTATACTACGACGGCTGCGAGGCTGCGGCGGCGGCCGGTGTAAAGCGTCGTTTACGAGTTGGCGTGCTCCGAACTGAAGCCGCGAGGGCGAGCAGACAGGGAGCCGCACCGGCCGCCGGAGCCTCCGACGGCCAGACAGGCCGGGTCACGACACGGCGGACGGCAAGCCCCGGAAGGGGCGCGGACCCGCGCGTCACCATCTACGGCGAGCAGCCGCGCCGCCGCCTGTCATCCGGCCATGTTCGTCGGACAACGCGCGGTAACCGGCGCCGTACATGGTGGTCACCGGCGCGCTCGCGCGGACAAAAGGCCGCCGCCGGCCGCCGCGGAGCCTGACCCGCCGGCGACGGTGGCCGCGCTTGACCAGCGGCCCAGCGCTGGACACGCACCGCTAGACCAGCACCAGCTCGCAGCAGAGACGGGAAACACCGCACAGCCACCGACCGGAAGCCAACACCGCTCAGTCTTGAGGTGCGCACTCAGCAGCGGGGATGCAGTGTCACGCAGCTCTGTGACGTCACCGGAGGGCGGCCACCGGAGCGGGCGGCCGTGCGCGGGCCAGTGACCGTCAGGGTGGCTGAGCCACGGCGGCGACGGTCGGGCCATAACGGCCACTCACTCGGCAGCACCGCGCGGGCTGCGCTTGCGGCTGCGGCTGCGGCGCCAGCGCACTATCGACCGCCGGCGGGGATCGATGGCCGGCGGCCGCTCTGGGCCGGCCGTCGCCGCGCGCTCTCTCACCGCCAGCGGACGTAGACGAACTCGTCATCAGCGCGCAACGAAGACAGCGTCATGCCGCCGGGCGCGGCGCGGCGCGGCGCGGGGCGGGGCGCTCCGGCCGGGGCGGCGCGGTCGGACCGACTGTCGCCGTCGGCCGACGCCGCAGCTGGCGCCGGCACACGCGTCGGGCGGGGGTGCCGAGCGAGCCGCCCGCGCTCCCGGCCGGGCCGGGGGACCGACACAGCCACCGGGTCGACATCCGGCCGGGGCGCGGGCCAGACCGGCACCTGCGCCACGCACACTCCAAATATAGCCGGCCGCTCGCATTCCTCAGACGTGTCCTACAGTCCCCGCCGCAACCGTAACCCAGTCGCGCCCCGGTCTGCGGCGACGGCCCGGCACGTTCGCCGTCGGTCGCCGCGCGGGCGGCCGATTAAACGGCCACGACTGCTGCTGTGAATACCAGACCCGACCGACGGTGAACGGACACGAGGTCGGCAGAGCGCGGCGCCCGGGCCGGTGTGGACGCCACCGCGCGGTCCGACCAACGACGGAGGTGTTTATGGCCCGCTTCCGGTAGCAGCTGGCGGCCAGAGCGGGCCGGGACGAGCCGGGGCGAGCAGGCCCCGCCCCGGACACCTGCGACCGAGCTCAGCCGGGCCGGACCGGGCCAGGAGGCTACAGACTGCCCGGAGCCGCGCCCACCCTCGCCAGCTGCCCGGACGCGGCTCAGCAGCGCCGGTAAACACCCGGCGCTATCCGGCACAGCGGGAGCAGGGAGGACGCAGGGACACTTGCGACATCATAGGTAGCAACTCAGATGGGTCCTTTGCCAATGTGGAACACCGCTCTGGACGGTGCGGGCTCGCCGCCCGCTGCCCCGCCCGAAACACTGCTCCGCGTCTCCACCCCGCGTCGGGCCGCGGCCACACGTGCGGCACAAAACACCGCCGTCATCGCCGCCACCTGCGCCAACGCGTCGCGAGCCACAACGGCGCCGCGCTCCACTCCTCACTCTCACTCGCAGGCGTGGCGCGGACGCCAGCGCGGGCCGCCCACTGACCAGGACATGCGGGCCACGGCGGCCGGCATGAGACGCAGCGCTGACCCGAGCGCGGCACCGAGTCGCGCCCAGCCGCGGCGCCGATCAATCGCCGCCGCCGGCGGCGGCCCGCACGCGCGCCTGCGCCGCCGCCGACGCGCCCGTTCAAACGCCACGAGTCGCCCGGCCGGTCGCCCCACGACCAGCGGCGCGCTCTCTGTCCGGCAGCGGGCGGCGCCTCGACGATGAGACGGCGGGCGCGCGAACGGCCTGCGACGGTGACTCACCAGGCGGCGGGTACCACTGCGCCCATTGCGGCGAGCGCCCGAAGGGAGTCCGGCGCGCGCGCGCGCGCGGGTGCGGCCGGCTGCGGCGGCTCGGTGATGGACTGAGGGGCCGGCACCGCTACACGGCGCCTGCCGGCCGTGCCGACCGCACCCGGACTGCTCGGCCGGACCGCCGCCGCACGGCCGGCAGCGGAGAGCACGACGGACGCGCCGTGCGGACGGACACCGTGCAGCCTCGCCTGCGCTCGCGGCGATCAGCAGGGGGACCGCTGGCGAACTGCACCGCTGCCCGGCGGAGACTGAGGGGGCGGCCACTCCCACGCCAGCTCCGGCCGTGACACGGATCGCCAGAGCGGAGAGCCAGCTCGCCGGGTTGCACGAGCCATCACGCGACGACAGAGGGCGCCGCCCCGGCGGCACCGCGCGCCAGGCAGCCCTGCGGCAGGCAGGCGACGCCGGCGGAGCGGACGGGGAGCGGTGCCGCCCGCCGGCCGCTCTCGCC